AGTTATGCATGGCGATGCTGACAGCTGTGTCGGCAGCTGTCATATATGTGTCAGGCAAGTGGAGCGGAGGGAGGAAGGGAGGTGCCAACTCTGTTTTGCGCAGTGCAGACAGAAGGGTGAAAATCGTCCACACGTGTGTAGGAAGTGTAGTTATGTAACTAACTCCGGATTACGGAGTACATTGATACATGGCATCCCGACAGGTACATGGCGGACAGGGAAGAGAAAGTTGCATTACAATACGGTCAGTACCAGGTTACGGAGCCCGGCGGTAATGAAACCATCCACACTTCTCTAGTTGCAATCCCCGCCGCCCAGTGGCCATCCTGAGATATGTATTTTTCCCCCCATGGTCCAGGGCCGTAAAGTGACTTTTTTAAACTCAAGCCCTGCTTTTTCCTGTTGGCACTGACTGTCGGTACGGCATGTTCTCGGTCTTGTCCAGGGCTGCTCCACCATCACGCCCGTCCCCCTCCCCCCCGTCACTCTTACCAACAATAAAACAGAGTCCGCCATAGAAAAAAATAGGACCCTCCCGGCCCTGCGGAACAAAACCACACTGTCTCCCCAACTCTCTTTCCCTTGTTCAACCTTTCCATCCTTCTGCTACCTTGCCTCTTTTTCTCCCTTCTCACTTCCTAATACTTACCTCACACTGCCCTCCACCAAACGTTCCAAAGGATCTCGTTCTTTGTCGCCTTCCCTTATATAAACCGCCCCAATTCCCCCCCAAGCATTCCCACCCACCACCCCGGACGACCCACCCCCAGGGGGCAAAAGATAGAAACACCAGTCAAGTAATCACATTCCGATCTCCGGTTAAGAGGAAAGGCTCTGGGCGTCGATTCTGTGCGGACCGGACCGGCGCACAGAGAAGTACTCTCTGCGACATACACCCTACGCGGAAGCGTCAGGATCTAGAGGAATTGGAAACCTACAGCGGGAAGAGCGGTGAATCAAGGAAGAAAAAACGGAACTGCAGTGCATTGGGCTTAGTGAAAGGGGCGTGGACAGCTTGGAGACCCGGAGACAACACGGAGGAACACGGAAAGGGAATTCCGTTTGGTTAGGATGCCGTCGAAGCTAAGCACGCCGGTCCTGACGGTGGACCCGGCGAAGATACACGAGGTTGATACGAGGAGTGCAGAGTCTCTTCATGGAATGTGGATGGGTAAGTATATCTCGCTATTTCGCTTTGGGTGAATATAAATGTTTTTGGAGTTCACGCGGCGGAAACTGTGCGACGGCAAGGTGCTGACTCGAAGTCTTGCAGTGTTCTCCCGGTGCGCAGACTATATGGAAGAAGGCAGACGGCTAGAAAACCTGAGCTGGAGATTGTGGAACCTAGAGACGTTTTGCACATCTCCGCCGACAAGGTTTCAGAAGCGCAGGATAGACAGATTGCGCCGCGAATCCAAGGATATCCCTGAACTATCGACAAGCGTTGACTCGGCCGCCTCCGATGAAGCTGAGCGGATTGAAAACCAAATCAAGTCGCCACCCAAGGACATGGACATCAAACCCAGGATCCTTGGAGTGGACCCGATGCTGAGCATGAGCCGCGGCAGAGAGCGACACATCACCTCAATAGGCTTGGAAAAGATGGTATACAAGATCAAGGAGAAAAAGTCCCTGGAGCCCATCGCTGCTTTACCCACATCTTCGCCACAGGAACAACAATCCCAGCAACAATCGTTGGACATCACGCCACGCGCCGCGTCCCCTACCCCAACCCCCAAAGTACGGAACGCTTGGGAATCAGTCAAACCCCATCATTCTACGGATTCTTGCTCGACAGTCGCCCTCGAAGCAAACGATAGTGAAGCCAGCCGGACTCCAGCCTCAGATACAAGCGTCTCATCAGCAGGTATCGTCAACTCTTCGAGCGTCGTCCGAGGATTCTCCCCATCCCATATCTCTTCATCTTATCGATCCAAGACTCAGCTTAATACTGGACTCGTTGCTCCTAAGCCGATGACCGCAATTAAACCTTCTCCTTTGAAGAAGAAGGGCATGTTCACGCTCGGCGGTTCCTCTGGTGACGACGAGAGCTCATTCGAAGACCGAATGGCGATCAAACCTCAGAGAAGCTCACTGACCGATGGTTTGCACAAATCCACACTTTCCCAGCAGATGCAAACCGATCTTAAGGCCGCGCCTCCTTCAGACGCAGCGAAATCCACCAAGGAGAGCACAGATGACGAGGCAGCCATTGAAACCGATGATGAAGACATCCCTGAGAGCGCAATCGACGATGATTCTGACTGGGAGGATTCTGTCACCGAAAGCGGCCGATCAAGCCTTGACGAAAAGGAGCTCTTCCAGCGAGTCGATTCTCGACCAAATCTAGTCTCACGTCCCTCGTTGCTAACGATGATGATGCACCAACCCCAACAGACTTTAGTGTCGGGAAAAGGTCGAAACCATAACTCGCGATCTACCCCTGCCCTTCAGCGATCTCGGTTGGCTTCACCAAACCACCAATCCTCGGATGAAGATGACGACGAGAACACGCTGACCATGAGAGGACCCGAAGTCCCTCGCTCCAAGCCAATTGTCGTCAAATCTGTACCGATGCACTCGATAGCCCATTCGCCACGCACTACGCGACGAAACATGCTCGCTACGGAACTCACAGAGTCATTAAGGCGACACCTACTTTGGGAACGCCAGCAAAAGACGGCGCCAGCCGCTGCTGCCTTCAAACGGCGGCACACAGCTCACGATATGGCTAATCTACAAGAGTATCCTGGTCCGAAACCTTCGACGGAGGAACAGCAACAACCACAGCGACAGCCTCCTCAAGCGGTACACTCATCGGTCCAGCAGGTGAAGGATAAGGAAGCCTCGAAGAACAATTCATGGAATCACTACTTTGACTACGGCCCTTGGGAATACCATGTTAAGGGCTGGTAGAGTGGTCCGTGTTTTGATTTTCGAGCTGTGCCTTTTGCCTTTTCCACATTCTCAGTGATACCCCGCCGGTTGCCATCGACCGTGTACAGATAATCTTACGAGTTCTTCTTTTTCCTCCTCGATACCCTTAGTCGCCTGATTCCTATCTCTATGACACCAACAATTGCGATCATCCTGCATCCGAATGCCTTATTTTCTGTGTTCACCGTCCAATGTTTATTCTAATTTTACGACCTGTTGTGTGTTTATTATTGCATGGCCGGGAGCGAGATTTTTTCGTTCATGTGACATTCTTACAAAAGATTTTACCTTCAAGAGGAGTTCACCCCAAAATGACAAAAAAAAAAAGAGAAAAGAAAAGAAAAAGAAAAAGAAAAAGAAAGAAAAAGAAAAGAAAATAAAGGGGCAAATGAACCCTCTCATTCCACTGGACCTGCAGTTGAACACCCAGCTTGATTTCTTTTTTTTTTTAAATCCACATCTACAATGCTTCTTGTACAAGCTTTAATTTATTTTCTTTTTTTGAATGTAGATATATTCCAAGGGCGGGGTCGGTTTCTATTACGATCTCATGGTGTTTGTTTCTTTTTCTTTAGCCAACGGCCTGCGGGATTCATGGACACGGGATCAGATACATATGGACGGGATTGTACAGATCTGAAGAGGCACGCGCCTGAATCGATATATATTTTTTTTTTGTTCAAATTAATTATTATTGATTATTTGACTCTTTTCCCATCCTCCTTAAGTCTTCTTCTCGTGTCTCGCTTGTCGGCGAACCCGGTCTTGTCCTGGCGTCTCCGTGAATTTAGCCCAGGTGTGAACATCTTGATCCTGCCTGCTTGCGTGGTGAGATGGACAGTTTACAGAGCATTGAGACCTGGAAGTTCTCCGCGGTTATCATTCCGCTCTTAGGAGCCGTGATGTCTCCTTTTTCTTTTTCTTCCTTCTTTCAAGGTTGTTGTCCACGGTTGGTGGAACGGTACTACATTGCACATACATAAATACGGGCAAGCAGCTTGAGTCATTTCAGCTGTTATGCACATATGTTCGTTGACGTCTGTTCGGAATAGATGCAGGGAAGAGCACGATTAAAAAAAATAAAATAAAATAAAAATAAAAAAGTCCAGGTTCCTATTCACATGGACCCTGGCTTTTGTTGTCTTTTAGGCCATCAGTGAAGAAAATTCCCCATCCAAGCTCTTCGTATTGTTTTCGTCACTATTTTTGGATTTGCGGCAGATCCGATGGGCTGTGGCCGTTGGGGGGTCGCTGGCTTTTCAGCTCACGTCCCCGTCAGGGACAAGGGTCCGTGGGATAAAGGCCAACTCCCACATTCATCCCCATATGTAGGTATAGAGCTGACAAAGGCGTTGGCCAGCGAGCGCAGAAAAGTAAGCCCGGAGTAACAAGTTATTGCCTTTATCCCGTGCAATAGTAGGATTCCAATAATATAAAATTTTGTTCGATAAATTCTTTCTCTGCAACCCCCCCTTTTTTTTTCAAACATTTTGATTTTCCCATCCACCCTGCATGCTTGTTGAGGAATCTAATTTTGTAAAATATCGTCCATTTCTGCCTCCTGCACCCTTGCTCTCACTAATGAACTCCCGTCAACGGACGGACGTTTACTGAGTTAGTGACCTGCCTTATTCGTTCCCGGTCTCTCTTCTCCGAGACCAGCGCGCGGGTGATGTTCGTGTGCTCTCTCGTACTCGGGAACGAGGGAGCGAAGAAATAAATCATTAAAAAAAAAAAAAAGAAAAAGGTTGAACTTCCTTGTTTTCCACGCCGGTGATTCACGCCTTCGTGTCATGAATATGTCGATCCGGGACTGTTAGACCCTGACGGCCCGGAAGGGAGAGGAATGTGGACGCCAGCTTAATAACAGCAGGGTCGCCAGGGGCGATGGTGCTCGTTTGTTTTGGACATTTTGAATGGTTATTTTTATTTTTATTTTTATTTAGTTTTTATTTCCCCCTTGCAGGATGGTCTACTGGAAAGACACAATGGTGTGTGTGTATGTGTCCGTATTCCAGTATGTCTGGTATGTTGAACATCCACCCATCCATCCCATGATCTACTTAGAATTTTCCATTTCCTGGGTCGATTTCACCGGTGTTGGTTCTATATGCCGGGCTCTCCTCCCTCCCAGCCTTCCCCTTCTTGCTTACTGGAACTTGCAAGGGGGCCGGCATCTCCGACGGCTGTTGGGAAGAGTCAACCCCCTGTTAGTCCACCCCCACGTGGCGTCGAGGTGGAAGGAAAGGGGCTTGGGCTCGCGCACCGGTACTGGTGTGTGCGTACGCGTGCATGGTCATCTATGAAGGGATCATACCAACGCTTGGGTTCATTTCCCGGGGGGAAGAAAGACGGCGCCGCGTGTCTGGGAAGGAAGAAGGAGGGGGAGTTGGTCTTGGGAACCGTCGGTTGAGATGGAAATAATTTGAACCGGGTTTTAATACCGAACCATTTTTCATCCCCCTCCCTAAAATGATTATTTCTCGCATATTCATTGGGGAAAGGTTGCATATGCATTTTGTTTATTGCATATTAAGGGAGAGGAATGGTTGAAGCTCTGATATCTGTAACGTCTATGGTATAAGATTCTGGGGTGGGAGCGCGATTGGGCGTAGACTGCGCGCGGGAGCAGGAGTCAAATTCCGTCTCCGATCTCCAAAAGGTGACTGCGCGCTTCTGTTGAGTTGGGTTGGTTCACATATGGACGTCACGAGCCACTATCGGCTTTTCTCCAGCTGTAGCATCTCACTAGTTGATTAAACCACCAATATCCTTCGCTACCAGCTCGCGATACGATCCAAATTAACTGAAAACAGTGGCCATAATCTAACATCCCACCCCATAACCTTATCAGAGCTTTTATTGCAGCACCGCCCACTTCAGATAGCAATTAGGGAGTAGAAATCAAGACGCTAATAAGCGCCTTGCCGAATTCTGAGCCACCAAAAGCCTGCGAGTCCGTAATAAGGCAGTGCTCTGGGGATAGCACGAGGTCGCAGAGATTCGGTGCTCAACAACAGGCTTTATCGGTATGTATGTGAGATGATTTGCTCGACGTGGGAGCAGGGATGACATCTTATCCCGGTCGCATTCATATCCATGTTTGTATGCTCCTTTAAGAGCTGCCACGGTGAATTTCGGGGGACGGTAATGGAAGGATCGGCCAATATGGATAGCTAATGCCATAATGCACAGGGAGCTCCGCGATGCTTGAGATTGTGAAGCTGGAGTAAGCACCAAACATTCTGACTTCACGCTCGCAAACCCAGATACACCGAGTTAGCTATAACTGCGGTTACTAAGATTTACTCCCTCACTAACGATAGGTGTTAGCTCGCTTCCTTCGTATCCAACCAAAGAGTTCTAGAAGCCCGGTTTTTGAAACATCAAGCAGGCTAGAGGATTCACGCTGGAGGACAACGTTTGGGTTCTTCCCTCAAAACCACACATGATGTCTAGAGTGTCGATCTCCGAAGCCGAAGAAAGATGTGTTACCATTGAATGGCGTATGGGCTGGTGTGATAACGATGCAATGAGAGCAGCTAGCGCTGTGAGGAAATAGAGCCGCCTTCAATCCAGCCCCGCTGTAAGGTGAGTACTCCAACACGACTTTGAGGAATGTCTTGAGCACGCGACCATTTCGCCCTGGATTGTGGTTTGACCTGACCTGCACCCGCGTCGCATTGAGGGTTTGCACTTCTCCACGTTTGTCTAACTTACCCCACGCCGAACGAAAGCATCGCGACTCAGGAGACCCACAACACTCGAGTTTTCCATTCAGTTTGACGAGGGGAGGGTGTCCATAGTTGGCTTCCCTGTCGTTAATTTGATCACCATTGATGGCATACATCAATGCTAAAGAGATCAGCAACGTATCGCCCGTCATGGAGCATGCGCCGGACTATATTAACGGATATTAAGACGGTCAAGCTTTGAAATTTTTCGTGTTGAATGTTGAGGGAAAAACTCAAGAATCATTGGACAACAATGATCGTTGCTGGGTCCTGTTTGGAAACTGTCGGACCCAGATTGCCCCAAGGCTACGCTTGAGTGTTGTGCATGTATTCTTCTGTTTGAGAATTTCAACCTCATTTTTGCAGTCCGGGGGACATGGCATCAAGCATTTAAGGAAAAGAATCTTCTTCAGAAAGGCAAGTTACATGTCCTTTATGTTTTGTAGCGCCTGCATCGATGCAGGTCTGGAATTTCCTGCATCCCGCTATGCAAGAGTGGCACCTCAGCGCGCATGATGTTATTGCTCTCCAACAGCTATATAGGCCGTGAGCCTCCCGCGGCAACTTGGAATAGAATATCGAGATTCCCTAGTAACATGTATGAAGGTACGGAGTATATACTGGACATACATCTGTCCATACATGCAAGTCATTGATGAAACCACCGTCACAAGCAACAAATAGCCTTGTACGGAGTAGTTTTCGTGCCTTGCAGATCATAAACCTTTTCTCTCCACAAAACCTTCTGGTAAAATAATGATGATTCGAGTGCTCCAGAAACGTGAGCTTTCAAGATCAGCCAACCACATCCGAGACTCAAGCATCATGCGAATCATAGATTTTGCTGCCAAGCGAAGCCATTGGGCTTTCTGCCAAAAGAGTCGACCAAGTTAGTGCGATAAGCGTGTCTCGACTCTCTTTCAAGGCATGCACTTGGTGGAAGTTGGTTGGCTGCTCTCAGGAGGCTGGGCTGTTCCGCGAGCTTGCGATGCAGACCGACTCTCTGTAACTAAACTTTCGATCATTGATTTCTGGTGGCGATCGAGACCAGCCCGGGGTACACACCCCTAAATAATTTTTTTTTTTTTTTCCCCACAAGTACTCTGTATAGTGCCTTTAAAAAAAAATCAATCGGCAAAACATTTGAGACCCAACAATACCGCATTCGTCAATACTGTAACCATTTCCAATGTTGACGCTGGCTCTTCTGATGGTTAAATACTGCTCTTGAAGAGCTGAAATATAACATATATGACTTGTAAATGGCCTCTTGGGATCAAGCCTTTGTTTGTGTTGAATTACACCCACACAACCTGTTAAGGTGAACCTTAACATGGAAGTATATCCAGTTCTAGCATATCGAGTTCACCAACCTGTGACAATCGTCAAACATTAGGATGTTGACACTGGTGGCAATGTTGATCCTCGACTGGCCGCCCACTAGTATTTAAAGAATGTCGAGCTCAAAGGTCGCGACCGAATAGTCCAAGACGCTGACGCCGAAGCTTTGTTAGTTTAGACAAGAGTTTACGTTTCGGATCTTGACAAATGGCTCATAGCGAAGTCGCCAATACAATGGACTGTGTCGACTCCCTGCGAACCATTATTACAGATAGGGAGCTCATTGAGTGCCAGGGTTCGAAAGCCAACTGCATCAATAGCCATGTGGCTATTACCCTAGGCTTGGGGAGGATATGATGCTGGAATCATTAGTAGCAGCCATTATGGTTTTCTCACCCTCAAGGACAGTGATTTATGCAAAGCGCTACAGGCTTGGTACACATGTATGTGCGCACGTACATACCGACATCCGTATCAAACGTGAGAAGCAGGGATATTGTTACATAACTAGCCATGCGCTCCGCACGGAGTACCAGGCCAGGTATTAACCATGCATACTAAAACTGTTGCATGAATTTGCGTCAGGTACGGAGGATAGGTTCTCTTGAGGCCTCCGCATTTGATAGCGTACAAAGAGCGATACCCTTTTTCGCTCGTGTTGCAATGCTTCCGGACGCAGTGGCGAACCTGAACTCCGCCCGAAACGAGCTCCCAAAACAGGGAAGGCGGAAGAATCCTTGGCGGTGCTTCTAGAAAAGGGACGCCAAGACGGCTACCCATCGCGCCAAGACCGGTGCCGAATTTAGCCGCAGATTTTCGACGTTTCAAGAGTGGTCATCTGGCCCTATTCGATTTCGCTTCCTCGCCCGCAATTGACCTTGACCGCAAGATGGGCGGGCATCCTTGCTCAGAGTTCGGGCCTTCCCACCGTCGCAGAAAAATTCTTCGAGATTGGCGGACTCGAGGTTGCATTTTTTTACGTTCTTTTTTTTTTTCTCGAATACTTTCTCTCCCATTATTCAGCGCGAATGGCCTGCCTCGGCTATTGAGGAGTTTGAATTAAAGGTTGGGCCACACTAAGCATGAGTCAGCAACTAACATATGCCGAGGAACACTCCCGGCGGAAGTACCCATTAGTTCGGGAGATGTCGTGTCTCAGGGCAAAATGAGAACAGATCTCTGGAGGAAGGATAAAGCCTAGATGGTTTTCCTGTGGAGAGTCAAACTCCACTTCCGGAGAATGTATGTACATATGTACTCCGTACTACGCGCAGCTGTGGGTAAATCATGGATGTATTGACTGTACAAACTTACATGCAGACAATGGTCACATCTCGCTACATAGGGCCGAAAAGCAAAGGTAAGATGGATGGATAACTTTTTAACCCTAAGCCAGCACGTTTGGTTAACCCTTGCTGGCCATGACAAAATCCTTCTAGAAAGCTTCGACCACCGTTGTTGGAGCCAGGGGCCATGGATTCTTGGAAGCTGGGGTAACAGTCAGATGATGCCAAGTGGCCGTGGATAGCCACCTTCCTTGCCCATAATCTTCGTATCCGAATAATCATTCATTTTCGAGGATACTCCATTGGTTGCTGTGTGGATAAATTAGGCCGATGGAATGATGGAGGGCGGACGCTGCTGTGTGCAGCTTTGAAGGATTGAGATGCCGGAGCAACGAGGTGTGCGATGGAGGGAGCTTACCCGCTTTGAAGTGTTTCTCGATAGGTTAATTCCGAAAAGGAGTGATAGGGGTGGTACTGGGAAATCACATTTTACTTCCCACTTTTCTCCTAATCCTTGTCAGCCACGCCATATGTTCATTTTAGAGACGGGAAGAAGCGCAACGTTCCCAACTAGAAGGAATAACGCATGCACGCATTGATACCGAGGGACCTGTGCTGCTGGCCACATTTTCCCATCTCATATAGTCACATGGAGCTTGGGATACGTCGCTTAATGGGGACAAACTGCATCTCAGACACAAGTCTCCACTGCTCTCGACATTCCTCCTCTGCTCTTGATTCAATGTAACCACTCTCCCCTGTTTCGCAGCCTCACCAGCTTCTGAGGATCGGGACAATCGTGGATGGAGACTTTCTACCTCTTGATGTCAACGATAGCATTTCGAGAGCTTCTCGAAGTCGGGAGATCAGTGGAGATAATGCAAGGATGAGCCCTATCCTCCCAAGTCCCGCTTGGTCATTTAAATGTCACGATAACATGGCACTCTGAGCTGTGATTGGCTGAATTTTGGTTGCAGCCGGTAATCTGTACGGTATTTCGAGACAAGTGTAACTTACGTTACATACGAAGATACGTAGATACATCACTGGTATTGATCCATACGTTGTAGTACGGAGTACCATACGCGGCCACGTGAACTTGCACTGGGAGGGCGTATGGTAGCGAACAGCTGAATCGCAATCTTCACGCTGGTGCTCCGAGGCACATCGCCGTGTTGCTTGCCGTGGCCAACGAGCTTGAATGCGCCTATCCTGCATCAGGGATCTCCGGTCTCCCAAGACGAGAAACAGCTCCCGATTCCATCGGCCGTAGGTGATACCAACGGCCTTGGCCTTGGCCCTGCCATGTCATCGTGAGACGTCGGGCATGACCACTTTGCTGACATAAAACTGTTGACAACTCGACTCACCGCCTGTCCCGCCGTTGATGGAGGGTCCTCCAGACAGCGGAGTTTAGTTTAGCTAGCTCCGGAGCTTTTCATATTTCCGAATGGCACGTGTGAAGGAGAGCACCTTCCCATAGTCTCTCGACGAAGGGAATCAACAAAGGGCGATACAATGTCTTGCCAAGCAGATGCCTATTCTCAACTTGCAGCTGAAGACGCCCGGTTTTGTCGGGGAAAATGGTGTAGTTACCCAGCCGTCGGAATTCGTCGCGGCCTCTCGACAAACCTCGTTGTTCACGCGGTGTGACCTCCGAGATTTCTACCCGCCTCATGCAAGGCGATCAGATGGTCTGACATCAACCAGTTCTGCTTCTCCAACCCTTCCCCAGGCCAAGGAGAGACCACCCTTGTCATCATGCAAGGATGGTAGCAGGTCTGGAAAGGCGTTGATGATGGACATCGTGCGAGGGATCTAGATTTTGGGGGCCTTACAAATGGTTGAAAGGGAACGCTGGGGCTTCTGGGGTTATGCAAGTTGTCTGCTGACCCCGAAGACCGACGAACGGGAGAGCGACAACTCAGGCAACCAGCATAGATCTAATGCCAAAAAAACAAAAAATAAAAAATAAAAAAAAGCCAGCACGGCGGCTACGCCGTGCATCCCGCGATCTGATTAGGTAAACCTGTAAATGTGATGATCTTTGGTGGACGGGATTTCAACGTCCAAGTTGCCCCGTCACACTCTCACAGACATCAGGAGTTATCTTGCGGACGGGGCGTTGTGCCGGCAGGTTTACATCTTCGCTTCAGCCTCAAATCAAATGACCCTTACATTACCACGTTCTGCTTGGTGCATCGCAAACGATGCTCGACAAAGAAATATTTCATTGGAGTTCCAACCCACCGGACCAGTATAACCCTGTCTGGGAGGGTTAGGATGACACTTGAGTCCCTACTTTTTTCGAGGTATACCCTACTAAGGTTACTGCCAACTTGTCGGTCCCATGGCATTTTATCCATGCTGATCGATGAGTTGGCAGTCCCAAAGGCCTGGGTAACTGCGTCAGATGGAGGATGTATTTGTGTTTAGTGTCGGATATCTTGAATGTGCTGCACGTGAATTCACAGCGCCTTTTTTCTCTGCCTTAGTTAGCCCTAGGTTCTCCAAGACAGTGCGTCTCTGGTAGTACACTGTATCATCCTTTGTTGGTGGCCAACACCCTCGATCACATTCAGTATCCGCACAGAGCGAAGGGACGGTAGAAGCGAGGACAATTTGTGTATGGGCTTCTTCTAACCCCTGAAAGGCATAGCGGTCTCGATTGGACACGGAAATCGACGCCTGCGTGAGAAGAGAAGTCTTGATGGAGCACTTTAGCTGGGTAGCTCATAGAGCAGAAATGACTTCGGAGCATGTACTCGCACTTGGGTCGAAAGGAGAAACAGCGCGAAAAGATCTTAACGGATGGCTTTGGAGCACCTTACTGAGACTGAGATGCATCATCATGTCGTCTTCCGCGTTTCCATTGGATTATGGTCATCAATCCTTTCGAGAGCAGCGACTTTGCGATCAGAGAAATCAACATGCGTCGGCAGCCGATGGACAATCTTCACCCAAATCCGAGACAAGCTTTGATGGCGAGACGGAAAATGCCCGACTCAGCTTTCATTTCGGTAGAATGGTCACCCCTCAGGAGTTCTAGAACTTGCCTTTGTGCTGCCATTAGACTGGCCTGGTCTAATTTGTTTCCAGAAATAACACTGGGACAGTTTTCGGCTGTTGCGTTTTTTGTTTTCTGCTTCCTTATCCTTCTTCCTTTGTCGTCCCAGCCTTTCCAGTTTTAGGGAAGAAGTTTCTCGCTATGCGGGGAATCTCTGTTGCGTGGGATATCCTCCTGGCTTGTACTTATGGCCGGGATTGCTGTTTTGTTGATATCTAGATTCCAGAGCGGAGTGCTGTCATTCTGTATCTATATCTCATGCAGTTCATTCTATTTAGATGGTTGTTTATCAAAAATTCCCTGGCCCTCGCAGTCGAACTTGCATCTCAAATGGAAGTCATTGGTATTGGTTCGTTTTTGATATTTTCAAGAGATAGATACATTTATCTTTCACCTACCGCTCTCTTTCAGCGTGTCACACAGATGATTGCAGATGCATTCTATAAATGTTACCATGCACTAAATTGGTTTACCAAACATAGAGGTCTTGTGTTGGCTACAACCTTTGTTTCCATTTTCATCCACTCACTATTACATGCTGTGAGATCCTGATGCCAAAAGGCATCATAAGGAACCCCAAATTCTACATTATGTAGGAGGATATGATTTGAGAATCTGATTGATCCAGTGTTAAAGCTTTTGATATTTCGCATGATATCACTTTTGGGATTGACATTTGGGATAGGGACTGGCGGATATTAGATCAATAGCAGTGATAACTAGATATGAGAATATCATTGCAAAAACCACCTTTTGAAGAGGATGATGCATAGGCTTGGTTCCTGTTTATATGTAACTATGGGTGAATGTTTCTTGTGGCATCTCTGAGAGCTCCAATTTCCCATTGGGCAACATGGTGCTAAAAAAGAAGTGTCTTATTGTCAATAATGCCCATCAAACCGCGATAGAGCCCTTTCGTAGAAGGGAGTAAGGATGCTCCAGGAGTGATTTTTCTGTTGGTTGTGTTGGTTGGATAAGAATGACTGGCTGCATGTAGGATGGTTACTATATTTAGGAATGTGTTAAAGACTACAGTGGCTTCTGTGGGATATGGATTTATGATTAGATTTATGATGTCTCAGAGAGCCACTGAGGATTTAGCTGATATCCACAAAGAGAGGAGATACCGGGGCGGAAGACTCATGGTCCGTATATACATATTTGGATGCGGATGTAACAATGCATGAATAGTTGTTCTCATCGGGAAAACCAATGGCCACCGGGCGGAAAGCTCCCAGGACAATCAAATCGATGTTTCACGAAATATGCTGAAATCCGATTGCCTGCGGTAAATTACAATCTCCTCTGATGTTAAAAGCTGAGGCATATATAGCCTCTTAGCCTCGAGGTCAACGAACAACCTATCCTGCTTCACATATCTAGATTCTTTCCCAGTTGCCCGCAAGATCATACTCTGCAAACGGCTATCGAAACCATGTCATGGAGAGAAACTTGAGCATTGGACACATGAAAGAGAAGAAGCTTGTGTTTGACCCCGACGCCCTCACCGCAGAATACCTTGCCGAGCGCAATAAGCGCCTTCGAAAGGATGGAATTGATCAGTATAAGGCCGCTGAAGGCGAGCTTCGTCATTATAAGGACGATCTTTATGCAGAGCCCGGGTTTCAGCGTCTGGCGGTTGTCGAGGATGTGGACGTGCTTATCATAGGCGGAGGATTTGGCGGACAGCTGGCAGCTGTGCGGCTCATTGGGCATGGAATTAGCAGCATTTGAATCATAGAGAAGGCAGGAGACTTCGGAGGCGCCTGGTATTGGAATCGGTATCCGGGTGCTGCATGCGATATCGAACCGTATATCTATATGCCGCTGTTAGAAGAGATGGGATGCGTGCCCTCTGAAAAGTACGTCCACGGTCCAGAGTTACTGGAATACAGTCGAATGATCGGTAGACGTTACGGGCTCTATAACAGAGCCCTCTTCCAAACTGAATTGACAGGCCTCATTTGGAGTGGACCAAGAGCCAGATGGATAACGGAAACTAGTCGGAACGATTCTGTTCGGGCGAAATTTGTTATAATAGCCAGTGGGCCCTTTAACAAGGCAAAGTTACCTGGAATTCATGGCATTGGGACGTTTAAAGGGCATAGTTTTCACACATCTCGTTGGGATTATGGATATACCGGGGGCGATTCAAACGGGGGACTCTATAAGCTCCGTGAGAAGCGTGTGGGAGTCATTGGAACCGGAGCAACAGCCATTCAAATAATTCCTCGTCTGGGACGCTCGGCGAAACATTGTACGTCTTCCAGAGGACACCATCATCAATTGCCGAACGACAGAACGCTCCGACAAAATCATCGTGGGCCACCAAGTTGTGACCCGGCTGGCAGCAAAAAAGAATAAACAATTTCAACATCATCATAGAAGGAGGCCAGCAAATGAAGATTTAGTCAACGATGGGGCAACAGACATTCTTCACAACCTCTCCTGGTTCGGTGTCGCTGCCTCGCTGAACACAGATGACGCTGCAAAGATCGCATCCGAACTGCAAATGTTGGACTTCAAGAGGATGGAGAAAATCCGTGCTCGGGTAGACGCCACTGTGAAAGATCCAGCGGTGGCTGAGAAGCTGAAGCCGTGGTATAACCAGATTTGAAAGAGACCGTGCTTCAGCGACGATTACCTTCCCACATTCAACCTACCAAATGTAACTTTGGTGGATACGGATGGAAAAGGTGTTCAGAAGGTCACAGAAAATGGGATTGTTGCCGACGGAAAAGAATATGAACTGGACTGCATTGTATATGCAACAGGGTTCCAGATTGGCACAGACTATTCTGGACGGATGGACGCTTTGATAATTGGTGAGGATGGAAGATCTCTCACGGAGCATTGGAAAAGCGGTGTTCGAACACTGCACGGCTTTTTGACTCGCGGATTTCTTAACTGCTTTATAACCAGTCAAATCCAGTCCGGCTTCACGCCCAACTTTGTTTATATGCTGAGTGAACAGGCGAAGCATGTGGCATTCATTGTCTCCAAGACTGTTAAATATGGAATTCGTACATTGCAGCCAACAGAATCAGCCGAAGATGAATGGTTCCAAACAATCATAGAGGCCAGCCAAGGGGGTCATCAATTCACTAATGAGTGCACACCTGGGTATTTCAATTACGAAGGGATGACAACTGCTTTGATCTTGCAACAAGGCGCATATCGTGACAGAGATAGGGAGTTTGTGAAACGGCTTCAAGAATGGCGCAGGACTGGAGAGCTTCCAGGCCTTGAACGCACTTTCGAATACGTTCGCCCGCTTGCCCGTGATGGTGTTGTTGCCTTGGCTAAGCTGTGACAAGGGGTTCGCCAAAATCCACTATCCTATATGGTTTACATTCATAGATAGGAATATTTGAGAACATGGGAGGGAATGAAAAGTATGTAGTAGACATGTAACTACATAATAAAATGAAGGTCCTGGAGATGCTGGGTTGGGGGGCTATGATCTCATAAGATCACTCTTTTCCGACTGCTTGTTTCGAGAGGTTTCGCAGAAATGGTACCTATGGCTCAATGATGCCGTTTATGTATTTCAAATCCGACCAGTCTGCCCTATGGATGCTCCGGATCATAAGCACCGTTCTTTGTGCTGAATCTGGAAAGGTAACAATATTTTGTGGAAGAAATCCACGTTCTTTTTATTGGAACCATCCGTTACCCCGATAGGCCCAATCACTCGACACATCCTGCGTTCGCTTGTCTGGCTGTGTTTCTTTGTTAAATTCTGTGCCGCGCCATAGTAAATCGAGACCTCCGACCCAACATGCTAGCTAGAACTAGTGCTACCGGAAGCGAGGATGACGTTTCCTTTTGAGGGCGCTCTACCATCGTCCCTACATTGCCCAAGAATGCTAGGGGATTGAAGCTTGTTCACTCTGAACCTGAGCTGGATTTGGCTGTCTAAGAGGCGTCCAGGATCAGCCTGTTTGCACCCCAGTCCTATGGCTGGAGATGGGAAATACATGGAGTAAATTGGACTGCATAGAATGCCAGTTGACACTAATTAAACAATTTCAGGGTATAGTTATGGAAGAAAATTATTTACCCGGATCCCCCCGACATTTCATGCTCTATCCGTCGTCATGGTGACGAGATGACGGCGGAGTTGAAGGTGAAGACAAGGACAAAGATGAGGTTCAAATCGAAGAGCCCGCGAGGGCGGATTAGTCAGCGGACCTATGGAGCTTAGCACCGACGAGCCAACCCGTTTGACCTTGAGCTGGAGCTCTGAGTCTGACAGACAATATCAACAACGACAATGTCTTATGCTCTGGCTTCAAAAAAGCGGAAATTTCACAGAGTCTTGGAATCCCTCTCCAATAACAGCAACGCCCCAAAACCCCCTCCGCCGAAACCTATACCGAAAGATCCCACCGTCGCAACCCCAAAATCAATCGACCCGACAATTAAGCGGGTTCGATTGACACCCGGCTCTGAACCTGATGACACAGTAATACGCCCGTCCAAATCTTCCTTGCCATCCCGCTCTTCCACTACTTCCCTGCGTCCAAATTTCGTGCCCTGGGACCGCGATCGCTTTCTGGAAAGATTGGAGACTTTTCGCAGGGTGGATAGATGGTCCCCAAAGCCGGAAGCTATAAACGAGGTGCAATGGGCAAAACGAGGCTGGTCATGTGTAGATGTAATGAGAGTGGAATGTGTTGGCGGATGTGGCCATTCGGTTGTGGTGAAATTACCCGATGACATTGAGGAGTTGGAAGAATACGATAGTGAGAAGATCGAGGAACGGAAGCAAGTTCGTACGTATCCATCCGAGATGTGGATTGAAGTTTTGGGCTATCTTTTCTAAATTCCCTTTCAGGGACTGCATTGGTCGAGAAATATGTGAAGCTCATTGTCGAAGGCCACGGAGAAAGGTGTCCCTGGCGTAGAGCTGGGTGCGACGGTGAATATTCCCCTCCATGTCAAAACTACTTTCTAGAAGATCTAATATCTTGCTAGATAGCATTCACCGCCTGCTTTTAGGGAAGCCAGAGAATGCTTTGAAGGGGCTTAAAGAGCGCTATACCAACCTTCACTCTTTGGCAAAGAAGTTACCGTGCATAGAGCGGATCGTGCTGCCTCAAAACATGGATATGAACGAGCTGCTAAAGATGATTCCACCGGAAACTTTTTCTACTAGCGATTCGGAAAGCAAAATTGCAGATGCGGAAAGAGAAATACCACAACGTACCTCAGGTGAATCAGAGGAAACACCAAACGGAGGTACGCATAAAGATATAAACAAGTCGGTACTTGCTCTCGCTCTTTTCGGCTGGGATCTCTGCGGTGATAAGCGTGCTGGACTTGCGAGCTGCAACGCTTGCTTTCGCAGGCTAGGTCTCTGGATGTACAATCCTAAAGAAGATGGATCTTCCTCTATATATCCAACCCTCGACGTGGTTGTCGAGCATCTCGACTACTGTCCATGGGTCAACGCAAAAACACAGAGTGGTTCAGAAAAGCAACCCAGTCAGCGTTCTCCCGTGGGTTCTGCTCTGGCAGGCTGGGAGGTTTTGGAGCGTGTGATACGAAATGTGCATCGTCGAAAAACGTGGTCCGCAGATTCAGAGGCTGCTTCTGCAGGGAATAACGACGAGATCTCAGATTTCGGAGAAATCGATATTGAAGCACGGAAAGCCAAGGATCGAGAGTGGTGGGCTAGACTTCGAAGGGTAAGGCAAGCGCTGCAAGTCAAAGGGCCGAAGAAGAGCAAAGGCGCAGCATAGTGTGTTTCTCCTGGCTTGTGCCTGCTAATTCATCTGTTTGCAAGTTTTATGATGTTTGATGGCATGGACGTCTTACGAACCTTTGCTCTAGATACCCGATTTTGCAGTTTATTAAACTAGTTTGCCGCATCTTAATGATGTCTCCCTTCCTTTCTCCATCCGTGTAATTGCAGTAGAAGGGCCCATTACCATTCTCGTTGAATGTCCATACCTAGCTACCAAGATTTTGGCTCTGGGGAAAAGCACGCTAGTCCGTAACAGGCAACCGACGATGATGTCCCGCTTGGGACCTTCAATTCGGCCTTCACGACCGCCACCTCAGAGCAGAACGCCGACGGGCATGTTTGAGCCTTCGCTTGATCTCCGATACTTGCGAATACCTCAATTGTGCGAATTGTCGGCAAGCCGTCTCTGCCAAACCAAATTCTTCTGTCACCATGTATGACCCTGCCCGGGATAGCTTTACCACCTCCGACGAATCGCCCTCTCGGAAGACGGGAAGCTCCACAAAATGCTCCCCTTTCCACAGCCAAGGCAATGTGTTGGGCGCGACTGACCTGGACTCAGAGCAAGGAAACGAGCCACATCCGTCAATGCTTTCGAACGCAATCGTGAGTTCTCGGGTTTTTCATTGAGTGACAAAAATATTCATCGTAACAGCACAGCCTTTGCTCTCTTTTATTTTAATTATTTTATCGTTATTATTTTTACACTTGACATTGAAATTTCTTCTTTCTTTCTTCTTTCTTTTCCCCTTGCAGACCGGGACCCAATCCTCCGAGCCAGGGTGAGTGGAGATCTGCGCTAACCTGTTGTGAAGGATGCCACAGCGCCAAAGCCGCTTCATCCTATCATGAGTCCTGTTCCCACGACAGTTGAGAATCGTCGCCATACTTCTTCAAAGGTTCAGTCCAACTTACCTTTAGACGCAATGGAGTCCTCGAAAATCGAAAATTCCTCATCACCTTCCGAGGACGTTACGGCTGAGCAGAATAGCATCGACCGGAAGGGATCCCAAGTTCGCGACGCCGAAACGTCAAAAGATGATCATCAAAACTCGACTCAAGGGGCTGCTTCCCCGATAGGGAAAACTGAAAAGCCAGTAACGGCAGAAAGAGCGTCGCCTGATGGAGCGCATAGTGATAAGAAGAGAAAGCTAACTGACGAACCGGCGGAGAACCCAGCATTAGACAAAGACCAGCATCGTACCAAACGCAAGCGGCTTCAGGAACGCCTTCAGAAGAATCGCAGACGTGGAAAGACTCCTCCGTCAGCTTACTCTCGTAGGGATGACGGTCCTCGAATCCAGCCTGACGCGCGACCACCCAGATCACCATCACCCATAACGCGTTCACCCTCCCCATCTGCTGCTCCTATACGCCAGCGTAAACGACCAGGTGGTGGAGCACGTATCAATTCTGCAAATATGGAAGCTTTAAAACGAAGACAAGAAGAGAGAGAACGGAAACGAGAAGAGGAAGCACAAAGAGAGCTTCGTGATCGTGGAGTACATGATGTCGTTCGGCAACATTACAACGCCGTTCCTGAACGAGGTCGAGAATGGCGTAAGACTGACAGCAAGATTAAGGGGCTCCGAAGTTTCAATAACTGGATCAAAAGCACAATTATTCAAAAATTCTCTCCCGATGAAGATTTCTTGGCGAGAAATAATGGCAATGGCTGGACTGGAGGGCCTCCAACGGCACCTGACGAGGAGAAGCGATTGATTGTGTTAGACGTGGGGTGCGGCAAAGGAGGTGATCTGGGGAAATGGCAGCAAGCACCTCAACCTGTTGAGCTTTACGTTGGCCTAGACCCCGCAGAAGTATCTATCGATCAGGCTAGAGATCGATACAACGGCATGAGACACGATAGGCGACGACGGAGGGGAAATCCTTTGTATCATGCTGAATTCCACGTAAAGGATTGTTTTGGCGAATCGCTTGCCAACTTATCCATCATCCAGCGTGTTGGGATCGATACCAACATCGGCCCGAATGGGTCTCTAATGAGTTCCCGCTGGGGTGGTGGTGGATTCGACGTCGTCGCGTCGATGTTTACTATGCACTACGCATTCGAAAGCGAGGAAAAAGCTAGACAGATGCTTCAGAACGTCGCTGGTGCACTTAAGAAAGGTGGAAGGTTCCTTGGTGTTGGACCAAATTCAGATGTTCTCAGCGCCAAAGTAGTGGAGTTCCACAAGAAGCGCAAAGAACAGTTGGCTGCCGCTGGGGCACAGGAGGCGGACAGCAAGGAGGAAGGGAAATATGCAAGTGAAGTGCTCGAATGGGGAAATAGTATCTATCGTGTGAGATTTCCCCGCGCTACCCCTGAAGATGGAATATTCAGGCCTGCCTTTGGGTGGAAGTACAGCTACTTTATGGAGGAGGCAGTTGAAGAGATTCCGGAGTATGTGGTGCCCTGGGAAGCCTTTCGAGCGTGAGTTTCTTCTCCCTTCCATTCTTTCAAGTTAAACCTTTTCCCTGCTTACATATTTTCCCATTTCAGCCTGACTCAGGACTACAATCTGGAGCTGCAATATCGCAAACCATTCCTCGATGTTTGGCGGGAGGAAAAGGATGATCCTATACTGGGTCCGCTGAGTGAGCGGATGGGTGTCCGATCAAGAGATGGCACTCTGATGGTCAACGAGGAAGAACTTGAAGCTGCAAGTATGTATATGGCCGCCCTACCTTTCATAACCAACCTCAGGGATATTACGTATACTGACTCTTTAACGATAGGCTTATATCATGCATTCTGCTTCTATAAAGTGTAATTTATGCGTGTATCCCTTATGCCACAACGCACCAGTCGCTCTCCTTTTGTACCTATGTAGACGATGTGGGTGAGAATTTTAGGTCTGGAGTATCCTTCCTCCTTAGACAATCTGAATCCTCCAAAGCTAGTCCCCGAATTATGGGCCCGAGAAAGTACTAAAATGAAAATGAACGAGCGCTTGCTATGGCCAAGACCCGGCTGTTCTCCAGTCAAATGTAAATAAGATCGCAAGAAAAGACCAAAAAAAAAAGATTATTCTCAGGATATCATGTAAACGCCTGTCTCTTCATTCCTTCGCCGGGTCCTTATCCTCAAGTGTAGAAACTAGAGTCGCATTCTTATGTTCAGCATTCAGAATCGCATTCTCAACTGCGGCTTGCACGTCCATATGGAAGAATGGACGGTTGATGCCATGAACATTAGCAATCCTCCTTGGGATTCGGATCAGCTCTTTCCTTCCAGCGCCTCGGTTGCCGTACGGCTCAATCTCGTCGATGCCGTCAATCTCGGAGCTCTCAGACGCTTTATGCGTTGTGATAGAATCAGCTTCTGCGCCCGAAAGCGCTGCCACGCTAAATATAGGCTTCCAGTGGCCAAGTGATTCTATTGATCCGGAACTCGGATAACCAAAGCCTGCTGCGGACAGTGCACGCTTTGTCCAGCGGTTATTAATGCTAGAAAAGTGCCACTCGACGATTTCGGGGGCAGCATAGCGGTCGAGTTGATTTCGAATGTCGATGAGTCCTTGGATGGACGTTACATCGACGTTGTTAACCGCTGAGAAGTCAAGGATGACTGCACGGAGAATTGGGCGATTGTCGTTGATATTGATTTGCTCCCCATTTCGTGGGCCAGGGTCATTCCACGGCCTATCCTGTAAAGAAGGAAAAGAAAGGATTAGTCAGGAACATATATAGAATTTTAATGAATCCAACTTACTCCTATCTTATCATATCTCTCTAGTTGAGTGCGTCGGGTCTCTTTAAAAATATGTGCCGTCAGGGTATCAAGATACCTGGCTTGATTTGGGTAGTTGAATCCTTCATTGAATCGATAGACAAAAATGCCTGGATAGGGTGATTGTGCATCGATCAAAGGGTTTGAACCGTCTTGATGCTCCATAGGGATGAATGCATCTCTCACGGACCATCCTGGGTCCTCTTTGCACGCATGGCCATCGCCTCTGCGAGGAAAGTTGTCTGGGGTGACACGATAGACGCTCACTCTTCCCAGGAAGTTTCCTTTGGCTTTGGCTGTTCGGAATAAAAGGACTGCGGCCGAGGCGGCAATAGTTGCATAAATACCGTTCTCAATCTGAGTGAATACAGTTACCAGCACACCAGAGAAAAAGATGATAGCTTCAAGCGGAGAGATTTCCCAAAACTGATAGACAACATTAGGTGGCGTTATCAAATCACCCACAGCATGGATGATCAGTCCGGCCAATGTGCTCATAGGAATGTAGAAAAAAACTGATGTCAGAGCGTATAAAGCCAACAGCACAATGAGTGCAGTGAACACCCCAGCGAGTGGAGTTCGAACACCAGCTTTGGCTTTAATAGCTGTACGTGAGAAAGACCCGGTGGCCGGATAGCCACCTAAAAACGGTCCGAATAAGTTCGTAAATCCAATTGCGACCAGCTCTTGCGAAGGATTAATGACATAGTTGTTAATCCTCCCGAACGACTTAGAGATGGCAATATGTTCTATGATAAGAACGATAATGCTCGCGGGGATATCCGAAGCAAAGGATTTAACGAGCCGCTGATCCATATGTGGAACTCCGGCGTGTCGAAACCCTGATTGTGTCAACGTAAGCTGGTGCTCAGTCCATGAAGGGAATGGTTAATCCGTACCTTTCGGGACCGTCCCGAGGATTCTGAACTTGGCTTCTTTTTCGTCCGGAATATTTCTGTTGACTAACCAGCTTATCATCGTATATAGGAGAATGATAAAAGCCATCCTGAGAGTGGATATGAAAAACCACATTTTCCGTCTGTTTGGCTGCCTGTTGGACATGAATCTGCAAAACCATCGAACCCCATACAGTAAGAACAACGCACTCAATCCCAGCGCTGCATCAAGTTGGGAATTCGGGAGATTTTTCAAGGTGTTTATGATTACCTTGTACGCTGCTTCTCTAGTGTTGACGCCACGAATACCCATCATTGCAGGTACCTGGCCCACGGTAATCGATATCGCTGCGCCTGTCATGAAAGACGTAATAGTCACAAGAGGAATGAATTCGACAATCCAGCCACATCTGATTAGGCCGACAAAGAGCAGAAACGCTCCACAGATGACGGATAGGCCCCGAGCAATTTGCTCGGCAGGGATATCGGGGTTAACGTCTTGAACTTTGATGACGACGTTTCCAACAATCGTGGACATGACAGCGACCGCCTACAAAGCTTGTTAGAATGTGCCGGGGGAGGGGGAAAGGAAGCTTCGATCACAACTTACCCCAATAGTTATGTCCTTTGACGTCGCAAAGATCCAGTAAAACAGGAAACCCACAAAAGACGTGTACAGTCCATATTCTGCAGGTAGTCGAGCCAGAAGGGCATATGCCATCCCTTGCGGGACGACGACAAATCCGACGGTGACACCTGATAACCATTAACAATAGCCACAAAAAGAGAAGAAGCACTATTCCTGCTCACCAGCGATGATGTCTCCGAGCATCCATTGCAAATTGTAGTGGAAGATCCATGACGAGAACGGGAATAGGCTCTTAATGTATCTCTTGGTATCATTGACGGAGGGCCGACGGTCCGAGACCCATTCGGCAACCGTTGGCTCATTCTCGACAAAGGTATCTACAGAAGAGATAGACTTAGCTGCAGAACGAAAGGTATCTTCTGGCTCCTGGCGGTAGTCAACATTGATGCCAAGAATGCCAGCCAGAAACCGGCCAGCTCGATTCGTCGCCATTCTCGAGTTTGGGCTGGACTTGATGGGAGGCCACATAGATACGGCAGACAGCAGCCTGCTTATATATTTCGGGTTTCGAGGTTTGGATGAAGGACTATTGCAAAAAAAGCATTCATACGGCAGGCCTCAAACGGTAAACAACACCTCAAGCCAATGATAAATAGTTCCTAACAAGGGGCCCTTCCGGCGGTTGGGATGTCAAAATATCTAAGGGGAATTGTCGACGCAATACCCTGGAACCATGTCGTTAAGGCGTGGCGGGTCTGCGGTGAGGACTCAAAACTGCTTGGCTGCGGACCTGTTTTTGGAATTGGCGAAGCTACACTCGAGAATTGGGAGGCATACTTGGATCCAAGCGGGATGAAGACTGCACCTCCTTTCTATTCTTTTTCTTTTCTTTTTTCCCCCTCCGGAATTGAAGCAAACGGCACGAAAAACGAAAGATCCGACCGCGAAAACTTGACTGTCGGACAGCACTTTGCATCAGGCCAGAGAAGTAATTCGCCCAGGTGCCCGGGGCGGATGTGGGAGAGGAACCAAACATGGCAGAGAGAGAACGTTATCTGCGGAGTTCAGCACATGCCATTGCCATCGGTCATCCTCGCAACAAGCTCTTATCAAAGCCTATCCCGCAATTTCCTAGCGAGCTGGAAGACTGATTGGCTGTTCAAAAATAGATCTTGTTGTCTGGGCAGGTTAGCCAAGGTCTGCGATGACTGAAGTTGAGAGCCTGATGTCGCAATCACAAACCTTGATGATGGCAGATCACGATAATAACTGCAACATCCCTGGCTTATTCCCAGGCTTGAACGAGCTGAATAAGTTTAAGCTTAGACCACAAGAAAGATACTGGGCTGCTTGCTCTGCTCGAACATCCAAACGGAACCTTCCAAGCTCGCGGAAAGGGCTTAGTTCCAGCACTGTGGACGGCACAGGAAATGTTTGATGTGTGACCGCCCATCTCCGCGTGGCCAATGAAACAACTGCTTTTGTCGGTGAGCATGGCTCTGCCCACCCCATTGAGCAAATAAACTCCTTGTTCATAACAGCTCCTTCGCACATGGCGTCCATGCACCGGCAGCAGGGTGCTTGTCTGGGGTAGCGAGAAGGTTAAATAACAACCCTGATGAGATAGATGCCTTAGGTGCCAGCCCGCGCCTCTCTGCATGGGTCACGGTCACGTGAGGCTACCTCGCCCAGGGCTGTCCTGAGGTTCACCTCTATCTATATGTGGATAGCCAGGGACCTCCCTTGCTCGCGACCTACGTCCCTGACACTACTCATCTATGGAATGAAGGCGGCTCTGGACTCTAGGACCAGCAGCGTGCTCCCGCATCTAGCTCGGGCAACGAAACCTGACACTCTCTTCTTCGCCTGTTGACAGGTCGCGAAAGGACCAGCTCGTACGGTCCCGGGGAACGAGCTCCGAATATCATACGCATCCCTCCCGGAATTGAGCACCTCCCCACCGGTGATCGGGCAAGACTCAAATTGCCGAGAAGTGGTACCAATCGTTTTGGCTGCCGGAGACACCTTTGGGGTTTGACGGGATGCTAATCTCGGCACGCAATCTTAAATCCAACTGCGAAGACAAGAGAAGCCTGTCCTGCAACTGTTACACATTGTAGCTATCCAATAGGAAATCGTCTCGTACACCTGAAAACTACCCGACGGACATACGTACTCTGCTGCGAGATTATCGTTTTGTAACTTGATGGTGGTCTCGCAAGCCTCAGCCTGATAACGGAGGAGAGAGCCAAGAAGTGATCTTCAGTTTCTGACTCAGCTTGACCCGTGCGTCATTCACTCCGGAGTTACGGAGTAAGTAACTAACTATGTACGGAGTAGTTAGCTCAACTCGTTAAACTCGCTAAACTAACTATTAGTTAGTTGGTTAGCGCGACTGTGCAGCGCGTCGCGTTCGTCGGCACTATTGCGTCGCCAGCTCGTCGCAAAAGGCGATCTGTGGAGCGGCCAGTCCTTCGAACGAAACATGGCCGCAGCGACCCCCTCACATCGCTCTTCAAGGAGACACCGTTTGGAGTCCGATATAGGGGCCGAAACACCATCTGGCGTGGATCAAGCTCTGACGCTTCCTCGCTACCAGCGTCAGTCTCACAAATTGAACGCAGACGCCAAAATAGCCCTCCTTAACCTTGCGCAATCAGATCATTTCCGACACCTCGACCTGCACCTACAGCACCTCGCTTCTGCGCTGGCGAATACGACAGGTGAAATTAATGACCAATTGACCGACGCGAAAGCACGATACGAAAGACAGAAGCGGAAGAGGGGCCAGAAAGAAGGTAGTGAGGATGTGGATGTCGATGGCGACGGAGGTCGCTCGTCAACGCTTGATGATGCGGAGGAGAAACACTTCGCAGATTTGGAACTACGGGTAAATATGACGACTAAGAAGATGGAAGAAAAGGTCAGAGAGTTGGTGGACACAGAAATGAAAGCCGGTACAATAAAGGAGATCCTGGAGAAGATGGGTCAGCCACAAGAGGAAGGAAGATCCGGCACACAAAGGGCGCGGGCTCCTAGGACCATAAGGCGAAGGCTTGAGGATGAGGACGAGGATGGCGACGATGCCGATGTGGATTATGACCCTAACCGTGAAGAAGATGATGAAGAAGGGGACGAGGTTGTTCCTGCAAGCGAGCTTTATGAGATACGATTAAAGGAGAAAGAAGCAGAGTGGGAGAGCCGGTCGCTAACACAAAGGTATAGCTATTTACCTATGAATGGTGACTGTACCCTGCTAATTATAGACGCAGATACACTACCAAAAATACCTATATTGGATTTTACCGCATGCTCCACGATTCCAAGCATCCCGGCGACGATATCCCTCCCCTACCACACCCATCAACCTGGTTTAGTAACATGGAACTCCCAGAGGCCTCGGAGTCATCCATTCGAACGCGGGAGAGCAGGAAGAGTGCCACTGCTCGCCGTCCCGACGACGACATCGCCATCGAGAGTGAACGTGTCTCCATCCGCTGCCCAATAACATTGCTTCCTTTTAAAGACCCCGTAAGAAGCACCAAATGCCCACATAGCTTCGAACGCGCAGCGATCGAAAGCATGATCAACTGTAGCAGCGAGACCGTGGTCGTACGGGCCCCCGGCTTGAGTCGCGGCAGGCAAAAACTAAAATATGTAAAATGTCCGGTTTGCTCTGCTCAGTTGCGTCTTCAGGATCTGCGCCAAGATCCTGTCCTCCTGCGGAGAGTTCGACGGGCTATGGAGACCGCAGCCGCAGAGGAAGAGGAAGAAGCTGAAGCTGATACCATGGGAGAGGATGATCAAGATGTGGTGATGCACGATCTGGAGACAAAACGAAGTCAAGTAAGAGTAAAGGTTGAAAGGGCAGAGTCATTAGCCCGGGAGCGGAGTATGATCCCTGGAACCCAGTTTGAGACTGTACAAGATGACGGTGGGGAGGAAGAAGAGGATGATGAGGGTTAGCTAAACAGTCTTAGAATTTTTGAAGGTAGATCAAGACATACCATCAATAGCTTCAGAAGTAGTTGCAGATATTTTGCTTCACTAAACTCGACAGATTTTGTTGCTCCTGTTGAGGCCAACTAACACGAGGATTGAATTCTACAAGTAGAAAGCATAGCGAAAAAGTAACGGAACCAAAAGGACAATTGTCAATTTTGCGGTGTACTATACATACATAAAAGATCGACTGGCGGGAATGAAACGTTCCGAAATGCAACGCCTTCCTGAATAACGGCTGATAATAGCAACAACGTAAAACAAGATGCAAAATATCCTCCTCTTCCAAACACCAGTCAGGCTAATATTCCATTGCCATGAACCCATTGCTCTGCTCCTTTTCCCAATGAAAAACAACGCCCTGCTAAACATCCTTAAATACGCAATTCCTCATTCTGTTTGCTGCAGATCTGTATTCTCGCGACGAGAAGAAAAGCTGCTGCTTTCGGAAATTAACAGTTTTGAGGACATATCACGAAGGAGCAAAAAAGAAACCGGTTTTGGTATCCGCTAAGCTGCGGGGGACTTAAGCAGAAATTCCTGCCAAGACATTTAAGTAGCCCTTCTTGGTCAATTCCGTGAAATCAATAAAGACCGGGTAATCAGCTTTTTGTTCTTCAAGGGCCGGTGCAGTGCTCAGCGACCCCTCTTTGTTTTCAGGTGGAATATTCCCTGCTGATGTCGCAGGAGGTGAACCAGCAAGTCCAGGCTTACCGCCAGCGCCAACGGCCATATCAGCAAGGTGTTGCAGAGAGCGCTGTTCTGTTGCGCCGAGGGGCAGGTGAGAGCCAGTAGACTGTTGATTTTCAGCCCGTTGTCGCAATTGGTTCATTCTGGCTTCAATGAAAAGTTGGATCGTGTTTTCCCAGTTCTGGGTCGCAAATATTTTCTCAAATTCACCTGCGGTGGCGGCATGCTTCTCACGGAGGGAAATTACACCCAGTGCCTTCTCGAGAATCTCTTGAACGTCACTTACAAGCTCAGGTATATCCGTGAGCTCCAAAAGAGTGATGACGGCAAGGGCAAGGAAATGGAAGTGAAATGGTGACGATATCGGTGTTGAGTTCTCAGCCTGCTTCTTCATGATTTCAACAATCACCTGTGATGGATAGATCAACTCCGCGGGAACGTAGACGTAGAGATGGCGCTTGAGAAGTAGATGAATGCTCCAATAGATCAGTGGAGAGAAATTTTCGAGAGTATTGACAATGGATGGGTCAGTGTTGGCCAAATCGAGGCGCTCAATATCCCTGATCCGAGTAAGTTGGCCAGTCAAGACTCTCTTCAGCGCGCGAGAAAGACCGCAAGTGGGGTTATTAAATGATTCAGAGAATGTTTCGTAGAGCTCGGCGAAAAGGGTCGAATATCCTAAAATGTAGGTGTTAGGCATTTTTATTAATGAGGATCTTCAGACCAATACACTCACGGGCAAGCTGCATCGTTGTCAGATTAACAATATTGTTGTCTTCGGGTGTCGCAATTTCATGGTTACCAAAAAAATCAGGGCCAGCAGCGCTTAACATATGCCAGCGAGCTAATATGCCGATTACGATCCAGTTGCGCCTAGCCAGGTTGCCATCCGAGTCCAGATCCTTGTCCTCTTGGTTGCTGATATCCAGCTGGCCCAGCGGTTTGGCGATATAGTAGCCGAGAGAAACGGCCCCTTCCACGAGTGTCCCCTTTGGGATACCGCTCTGTCCACGGAAGTTCAGTCGGCCACGTTGGTCCGCTTCCAGGATCATGAGGATGATGCTATGAAGAAGGACAAAGTTTGCGGCTAGTGGACGCGAGGAAGGATCACCCCGGAACCATTCGTACAATCGGTCCTGGGCCTTCTCAAAGGACGGGATCTCTTGGAACTGGTTTGTAGCACGGAAAGAGCCTGCTCCAGTAACAGCAAGCAACGAGTGAAGAAAAACTTCTTGGATCTGACGGCTCGACTGGCGGAGACGACTACGAAGCCGATCTCTGGAAGCTGGTAGTATAGGAAAGATTGGGTGGATGTGATTGTAATAACTGTCGCTCTGTCAGTATGTTGGGTGCCTCGATAATCCAATAACCGGGAGATAATAGCTTACGCATCAAGAACTTTTTCGTCTATTTCAATAGGTGTCACCTCCTCCGCAGGCTCAAGGCCTGTTGCAACCTGTCCATGAGCCCAGAAGGGTTGTGCAACCCTAGCAGCTCCGTTGTGGGGGGCATATACTTCTAGGCCCGCGATGGCATCAGGATGCACGTCCTTACCTTGTGGCTGCGCTGGCCAGCCACCAACCGATGGCTGACGTGGTCCCTGATTCACCGGCAAGCCCATCATAGTAGGGACAGCCTCTGTCATAGAATAGGTACGCTTCCTCGGAAGAAGATTACTATCCACGGTTGGAGAGAACTCCTGATAACCCCGCACAGTTGGCGATCCTTCTTCATTTAGAGCCTGATAATGTACATCAGGCTGGCTACCGATGCCGGGTTGCATCTGGCTCTCCAGAGTGTTGATGCGGTCAGCCAGTTCTTTGATGTACCTAGCGACCATGAGATTAGTTAAGCGGCATGTGATAATTAGGTGGTAAAGAGTTTTAGTCTTCTGTACCCTTTACTTGGACCTCTTTTCATCGGCACCCTACTGAACTCACAAGTTGAGTTTGTTCGGCGACAGTTTGAGCACATATCTACACCAGCTTCTGATGTGGCATCACACCGGACCTATGGGCTGTCAACTGACTACAGTGACGATAAAGACGCTGCAGAAGTACATACTTTCTTACGTCGGCATTCATCGCAGGCGCGAGAGACCTTGGTGCGCTTTCGCCTTGCGCTTTGATCGCCATAGCTGAGATCGTGGTTCGGATCGACTCCAGTCTGTTGACTGGGGGTGAACTGGACCAGGTGCTGTTGGTGCTGGGTTTGCTGGTCCGCGGAATCGCCGCGGTTGACGGCGGAAGGATTGGGGTTTGGTGACCCTAGCACCATTGGCTGAGGCTGCCCAATACCATTGGCAGGATTTTCATTTATGTTTGTCGACGATACCTCGCGAGACAATTCCGCGGTGAGATGTAGCTCGTCTGCAGTCAATTGGCGTTGGTTGGTGTAGTAAGACGCGGCGTTCTGGCCGACTTGGGTCGCGTTCGGGGACGGGTACGATGGCGCCTGGGCCATGTCGCCGTGGTCTCCGGAGGCCATCGTCGCCGATTCAACCTTTATGACACCGGCGCGGTGAGCCTGTGGTGCGATCAGGTTTTGTTCCTGAGGTTCATACTCAGTTGGAACGCGTTCGGACATGACAACAATAGAAAGAAAATGCTTCAAAAAGTCATCTGTACGGGAAGGTCGGAAGATGGGGGGAAGGTGATTTGTAGGGAGAGGAAACCACGAACTTTTCCGAGAACGACGAGCCTCAATCCACAGTGTCAGTGTCGATGCGCGATACCGGTCTTGCTCGAGGGACGAGTATTATTTGGATCGACGATGATCGCATTCCCTGGGGACACGGAGAACGGGTATTGTTTTATGCGGACAACGTTGAAATCGAGGTGAGGTTGCGGAATAATTGAGGTGCCGAGTGGGGAGTTGAGCAGATTGTTTGTTGGGTCAAGAAGCAGCCGAGAAGGGAAAGGCTCGACTAAGTCACATGATGTCAACAGTCACGTGCTATTGTGAAATCACGTGTAATTTGTGCCAGCTGTCCTCCTGGCTGCAACGGGGACATGAATCTTCCTGGAATCCATGATCAGGACGGGGGATTTTCCCCAAGGAAAACAAACCAAGTACTCCATGAAATTGGCAGGGGTGGCCATCAGTTGGCTGCATGGAGTGCAGCTCTCGATTGGATGGATGTCTGACCTCCTCAAACTCTCCTGTCTGATACCCTCTGGTCTAGAGGGCACAGGAACAACTTATGTCAATCTATACAATCTCATTGTCTCCCGCGTGATTATACTACTTGGTGTGCAGCAGATCATCTAGGTTTTATTTGTCATGTGGATGTAAACACAGTCCTATTACCGCTGAATTGTGAATTCTATGGAAATCCTTGCTTTTGGTTGAGTGTTTCAGACCTTCACGGCGCTTCAGTGGCACATCTTCGTCAGATGGCTCAGTGTCAGGAACAGGACTTCATATGAAAAGCGTCAACTGTTTCATATCTTCCCCACTGTTTCCATGATTGCATTGCAGGAATAATGAGGGATTATTGCCCCGGGTTGGGCATCGAAAAGAGGCCAGTCACTGCCATTCCTACTGCCAGGATATTTCCTGAACAAGATTGGTTTCTATTATCCACTTTTCTGGGATTCGGATCTATTAACAGTTACTGACCAACAAAGACATGCTCTAAATTTACAACCGAAGCCGATGCTCTATTTGTGATGAAGGGGAACGCCTGACAGGCACCAGGCTAAGGAATGCTTAGCCCTACAAAATCAAATACCTCTTCCTGTACAGGTCTATTAGCCGGCTATGGGCTTAGAAACATTAGGAAAGGAATCCCTTTCATTCGTTGAGTTGACCGTGGTGATGTGTGATATCCGATGTTCACCGACATTACCGCCAGTTGAGGCATCTGCCAACACTCCATTTCACCGCCGTAGAATGCATCGAGAAACATTGATACGATATCAGGAAATTAGGGTGAATGAAGCCCCATGTTTAGTCTTCTGTTGAAAGGAAAGTACCTTGGTGGGCTATTTTAATTCTTTACTCCGTACTTGGCTTACGAAATGAATGGTCAGCATGCTTGATGATCTCCTCTGGCCCTAGTAACCATCTCGACCCTGCTACTGGCGGCGCAACTCAGGTCTTTTCTCAATGCGCACGACTAATTCTACGGAGTACAATTTGACATATTAGTCGTCGGGGTCCGAAAGTGTTAACTTTGACCCGAGTCTTACCCATGCAACTTAATCACCTACATACTCTTTTTGTTAAAGCCCTATAGGGCGCATTAGAGTTTTTCTCCAAATTGCAATCTCATCCCTCTTACCCCATGTTTTAGGTTGCGCAGAAAAGACAATGAAGAATGGCGGTAAAGAAGCACGAACGCCGGAAAAAAAAAAAAAAAAAAAAAAGAATGCGCCACGTTGGACCATTGATGATCGGAGGGAAAGCTTAAGTTAAACCTTTTTTTTTCCTGACCTCATGATCGAGATCGATGAGACGGACAGACGTCTGGATGGGATCGAACCTTGTAAACAATGGCATTCTTTCCTTTTCCGGTGAACATAACAGCCTGCTTTCCACTCCACGGAAGCCTGGAGATGAGTTTTGCATATTTTGGGCCGTGCCTCGAGTCCCCAGACCGTGCAGAAACTTAATGTTCTAAACGTTGTCTGTTGCTGGAGTTGTGTTGTGTTGATGTGTATTTATATTTTTCTTTGTCTGCCTAACGGAGCCATCCAAATGCGTCAGCAAAGTTCAGTCTATCTTATCTCAACTTCCAAACTTAAAATCTTTTTGAGTTTCAGCTTCCTGCAACCCCTTATCCAGATAACTACTACGTACTCCGTACAAGTCACTGCAATTGGAGAAAGCGGTCTAAGAGGCGAGGTGCTCGGCGTCAACAGCTACAATATGTGGAAGAACCGGCACAAGCTATAACGCCGCTTTAGGAAACACGCTAGAAGGCATCAGAGAATCTTCTATGGAGCTGCTTATGTAAAGATAAATCAGAGGCGGAGCGAACGGGTGGATCCCGATGACGTAGATGGTCAGGCCGGCAGCGGCTTTTCTCTGATGAGCAGAATGCTGGCGTGCGATCGGAGAATTGTTCCATGCTGAACTCTGTGGCTCCTTGGAAAGTAAATCATATACCCTTGAATGGACTTGAGAACGTCAGCACTGAGCCGATCGTAAACTGATATTATTCACCGAACACCCGGAATCAGCAAACTCAAGCAAAGCTTTCCAGTACATGGTTGAGTGGCCCGCCATGTGAAAAGGTACGTATTTATATGGAGTAGTACTACATACGTCGCTATCCAGACCGCCATGCTTGTGTGCTACAGCTAGAGATTGCTTTTTGTCCCCATAATACCAATGATCGATGACATCAATAGAACTCGCTCCCGAGGAGGGTCGACTATGGATATGCAATTATCAATGGCTGTACTCTAGCCGTCGTCCAGCATGTCCAACATGCTGCAGCCTTTTGCGTAGATTGCCAATCAAACACTTGATGAATGAGAGCCTGGTGACCAACCCGGGGGTTTAAAGGCTCGAGCATGAGTTTTACAGCTTCATACATGAAGTGCTCTGTAGATCTTGTTGCAGCTAGCCTCTCTTAAAAAAATAGCGAGCGAAGTTTGGTTAAAGATCTTCTTGTGTTAGGGTATTATTATGCACGGGCTCGCTGCCGGTTCGCCGAACGACATACGTATGTACATACTCCTACTGCCACCATCTTGCAACAGCGTTGGTTCCTGGAGGTTACAGGTAGGAGATGGTACTGGAATACGCACAAGGGCACTCCAGTACGGTATCGTGGCGTGAACTTTGTTCTCGGAGCAGCACAGGTAGAGTTACTCTCCGGGGTACAACGGTGGCATTGTCCCTTTCTACGTGGGGCATTCAGGGTTGCAAGTTCACTTGACGGTGTGGGGAGGTCGAGCCGTGACTCCTAGTCTCTCACCAGAAAGGTGTGTTTCAACCTGTGCATTCCAGCAGTCGAGAGCCGCCACCAATGATGATCTTCCAGCTAACCTGTTGTGAAAAAGTCGGATGATGAGGGGCGAACTGGTGGATTTTGAAAGTCAAAGTCGGTGGGCTTGAGCCCTGGATCACAAGTTGGACGCCCTTCTAATATGGCGTAACAACGGACTGGACTCGGGGGTGAATGGTGCCCTTCGGTGGAGTCCTGTGACTTGGACGAACGCATTTGGTCAAGCGCACATCTGCATGGGCGGCCCCAGCGCTACCAAAAGCAGAGATGCCGGGAAGCCATTCTAGAAAAGAAGACGGCAGACACCGAGATGGAAAAGGGCATCGTGTATTTCCCGTACTCTGCTGGGGTTGTATTGTCGATGAAAGCTTGCCTGAAAGAATTCAAAGCAATGCCAAGAAGGCTTGGGGTCGCTGCTCTCGAATTCTGGCCTTTTCAGGGGGGCTGCGGAGGGGCGGGCGGCCTCAAAAGAACGCCTAACGCTGTGCCTTGCCCAATAACTCACCAGTAGGAAACGGCCTGGATGACGGCCTGCAAAAAGAAAGCAAAAAAGCCAATTCCGACACATCCTGGCGCACGTGCTCTTCTCATGATAAATCGACGTCTTATCTGCGATACAAATAGATCGATGAGAAGATGTACGTCCATATCTCCATACACAGAGCCAGCGAAGAAGGCCTGGGGAGCCAGGGGGGAGAGGGGGTGCTTTGGTGGCTAGACAAAAGGATGAAGAATCTGCTCGACGAGATCCTGGATGATCTGTGGCCCGCCAGAGTGGTTCTTTGTTGACATTGCGCTGCGATGCTCATTCGTCAAGTCGAACTAGATTTAGAGTGTGTACCTGGCTCTTGGAAGGTTTCGAAACAAAAAGTCTGGATTATATTGTCTGGAGGCGTTCGCGTTGGAGAAGGCGACAAGGAAAAAAGAGAGAGAGAGAGAGAGAGAAAGAGAGTTTTCTCGGTGCCCGCCAGCCATGCTCTGGTACACCCAAACTTGGGCAGCCGATTGGCGTGCTTGGCATCCCGCCTAACTCCATGCGGCTAGACCAGCCAACGCAAACCTTATTATTAGCTAAGAACTCAGATCCCAGCTGCGAGTCAGCAACAACCTTTCTTATTTTAACCTCCCGTCATCCATCTCGCTTCGAATGTCGCCGACAACGCACTGCTCACCGTTGGGATCTCCGCTTCAAAGCTCTTATATGACCTCCTGGACTCGTCGTCCTCTCCTTTTTCTCTCCTCATTCTCCGTCAGTCCCCTCCTGCGCCCGTTTCTTGGTCACTCGTCTCTTTTGTTCGAGCCCAAACCGCCTGAAGTACCGATGGTTCCTCCTTTATAGCCCCTCCTCGATCCCGCTTCGTCCTGAAGCTTTGCTCCCGGCTCGATTCTCCCCCGCCATCCGGTGTCTACATAAGGGAGCGTTACCATCATGGTTCTTGAACGACGAACGTTGTGAATTGCCTTTCCGTTTTCGTCTCATCTGGCTGCCCGCTATCTGCCTCGCTTCGCCTCACGTGCAGCCACCACCCCTGCTCCAGCTACCACCACGATCTTTCGTCCAAATCAACCTTGACGTGCAGAAACTTCGGAGATGTTGATAAATGGCGAGAAGTATGCTTGCGATGCG